TCGATGGGACCCGTTGGTCAAATTTGGAAGATCAAAGTTGATCCGTGTTCTCCTCCGTGAGAGCATCAAAATCATATATTTATGTGCGAAAATGAAGTTTGGGTGAATGAGAAATTGGAGCTCAAAGTTTAGTTCCACATAGGAAAAATATGAAAGCAAAAATCACTTTAAATATGGCTATACATTGGAAGTGTGTAATCATGTGTAGTATAGAGGCTCTCTCCATGCGTGTGTGCAAGGGGATGCAAATCTCAGATCGAAATTGTTTTTGGACCTTGAACTTGTGTGCGGAAGCGACCTGCATACACAAATATCGGACCGAACGAAGCAAAAATTGACCCCTTTGGAGAGCCCACATTTTGCAATTCTTTTCTTACTTTTTCCACTGACTTTTGAGTTTCTAAAACTCCAGAAACTGATATAACTCCAACGGTTATTGAACAAATTAAGTCTATATAATTAAACTCAGTTTTCAGCAATTTTCTTAGATGAAATAATCGTCCTCTACATCCTCTCTGCATCTGTACTGTTTTCAGTTCTTCCTGCATACGCATATTTGTCCAGTAAGACCGTGGTGATATTGTTCAGACGCTGTATTAGTTCACCGGAGTAGTTTTTGTGGTGCTCAAATACTACAGGTTTTACCGTTATATCCTAGGAAATAGACGCTCAGATCATAACTAAAGCACGCACAGTGAGAGGGCGAATCTGTTTTAAGGAAACCGTGCTTGCACAGGCCTCGGGTTAAAAGATTATTTTTCCAGAATTATATGCTTTACAGTTTAAGTTTCTGTGCATTTCGTTATTTGCAGATTTACATTCTTTTCCAGAATTATATGATTTTCAGTTGTGTGTCTCTGTAAATAATATAATTTGCTATACATAATTCTCACAATTTATATAATATATTTTGTATATACGAACTGGTATATGAAGTTTGTGCAAATTCAAATTCTATGTTTAATTCACTGTAAAAATCGATATGTTGCATATACGGTAAATTGTTACATATACGGTAATCTGATGTAAATACGGTAATCTGTGGTAAATATGGTAAACTGTTGCATATACGATAATCTGGTGTAAATACGGTATGCTGTGCAAATAGGGTATGCTACATATACGGTAAGTTGTAAATACGGTATGCTGCATATACGGTAAGCTGTAAATACGGTATGTTGCATATACAGTATGTATAAATCCAACATGTAAAGTTCATATACGGTATGAATAAATCCGATTTCATCCACTACACTAAAATCCAACAGCTATATCCTACGAGTTTACCTTGTTTTATGCTAATTCATCATTGTAAAAAACTATCAATCCTTTGCTTATGCAGCAAGCTTCTATTGTTACCTAGGAGTGTAAGAAAGCTTATGTCGGGAACTCAGTTTTACGTAATCAATATATCTATGGAGAAATTTATTTCATCTTGCCCTTTATATTTCTTCCTTTATTCTTTAATTGGGATTGAGTACTTTCAATCTGCACATTGAGTATTTGCTTTGAACATTTCATAGACGTGCTACCGCTTTGTGTTTATATATTTATTTTGGAATTCTTACAGAGAAGGATCAAACTTCCACTGTATAGAGCTTAATATCTATGCAAATTCTGTCAAGTAGAATGTTAACACAGTTTTAAATCTTTTGATGAATAACTATGACCACTAAGATCATAATGAGAAGTCTAACCATAAAATTGAACTACCCAGTTTTGATAAAGAAGCCGAAACTATGATTAAAATGGTATGCCTTTTTGAAAAGCAGCTCAGAGGGGAATCCCACAAGATATAAACTTCGTTGTGAATAACTATGACCACTAAGATCATAATGTTGTTCGTTGCATCCTACGTCGATCTCTCTTCCTAAGGTGATGGTTGAAAGCGTTCACCTCCTTTCGTAATTGCATTTGACGAACAAATGGAAGAAAGTACGGTAACCGATAACCCAAGGCTGAACCAAAAAATAGAACAAAAAGAAAGAAATGGTCATCAATGCTTCAAATCGTTTCTTGCATCATTGTTTTGCTGCCAACTATTTTGTGAGTTAATTATGGATAAAAATTGTGTGTTATGTTAAAATTAAAATCAATTGTTGATTTTAACTTAAATTTTTATCATTTTTTTTGTTTTTTAAATGAAAGGGGCTAAATTGGAAATCGACCGTACACTCGGACCCCTGTAGTGGGAAAACGGAATACCAGTGGTTAAATATACGAGGTTTGCAAACAAGTTAATTGTTCTAATAGTCACTGAACTTCAATCTATGTCTTCAATTGCTCACTAAACTTTAAACTGTCGAGTTTTGATCACGGAACTTTGGAAACGAATTATGTTACTCATCGACGTAACTTCCATCTCAAACTTCTAGCTGAATTAATGACGTGGTTGAAGGAATGCACATGTGATGTCTCGTCACACCGCTAAACTTTGATATAGTCGAATTTTGGTTACTAAGCTTTAAAAAATATATTCTATTGTTTACTAAGCCCTCGTTTGATTCTCATTCTTATAAGAATGAGAATGAAAAATATAGTCGTTATAGAACCCCCAAAAGAGAGGGGAAGTCAAATATGGTGGCTTGATATAATGGATAACGGTAATATTTTTCATTTTTGTGGCCAAAGAATGGGAAAACACAGGCCTAAATTTTGATGTAATCGAATTTTGACCAACAAACTTTGATATAGTCAAACTTTGGGCACCGAACTTTGATATAGTCGAAATTTGACCACTAAACTTTGAAAAACGTCTTTTATTGCTCATTACAAATTTGCATTTAATTAAATCTCTGCTTATTTTCCTTTAAATCAAAATTATTTAATTTTTATACTTATTTTTAACCACATATTTATACAATAAAATATTTTAAAAATAAATTTATTTTTTTTCAACTTTTTGACCGCGTATTATCCAAAAAATCACTATTTAAGACTCTTTTTTATTTGAAAAATAATGGCTATGAAACGGGGGCTAAAATTTGTTGTTAACATTCAAATTTAATTTAATTTATCAATAAATATATTGTGTGTTTCATTGCAATTAATAGTCATTTTCTTTGCACAGTTTTGCAAGTATTGTCTATACCATTAGGAATAATTATTTAATTATATAGTAGCTAAATTTAAATTTAATTTATTTTTGTAGAATTTTAATCTATCATCATCATAATATTTGAATTTTGCAATGAAACACGCAATTAATTTGTTGTTAAATAAAATTAAATTCAAATTTTAATAACGACTTTTAATTAAATCCAAATATATTGTTAGTAATAGAAGATTTTTGGTAAAGCTATGCAATATTGCAATGAAACATACAATATATTTGTTAAAATTAAATTAAATTCGAAATTTAACCCTTGCTTGATTGCCATTATTATTATTATTTTTTTAAAAAAGATTTTTTAAATATTGCTTTTTTTTGGAGGATGAGTGGTTAAAAGTTAGAAAAAAAAATTGAAGTTACGTGTAAAATATTTTATTGTATAAATGTATGGATAAAAATGAGTATGAGAATTAAATAATTTTATTTTAAAGGGAGATAATGCTTAATTAAATCCAAATTTATAGTGAGCGATAAAAGACTTTTTTAAAGTTTAGTAGCTAAAGTTCGATTATATCAAAGTTCAGTGGTCAAAATTTGACCACCTCAAAGTGTAGAGAGCAATAAAAGACATTTTTTTTTTTTTTAAATTTAGTGACCAAAATTTGACTATATCAAAGTTTAGGAAGCATTTGAGCCCCATTTTTATGAAAAATATATTTTAGAATATTAGATAGATGGAAAATGTGTGGTTGAAAATTAAGGAAAACTTTTTTATTTAAGTGTAATATTATTTTAATGAAAAATGTGTGGTTGAAAAAAAAAAAAATTTTAATTAAATCCAAATATATTGTTAGTAATAGAAGATTTTTGGTAAAGCTATGCAATATTGCAATGAAACATACAATATATTTGTTAAAGTTAAATTAAATTCGAAATTTAACCCTTGCTTGATTGCCATTATTATTATTATTTTTTTAAAAAGATTTTTTAAATATTGCTTTTTTTTGGAGGATGAGTGGTTAAAAGTTAGAAAAAAAAATTGAATTTACGTGTAAAATATTTTATTGTATAAATGTATGGATAAAAATGAGTATGAGAATTAAATAATTTTATTTTAAAGGGAGATAAACAATGCTTAATTAAATCCAAATTTATAGTGAGCGATAAAAGACTTTTTTAAAGTTTAGTAGCTAAAGTTCGATTATATCAAAGTTCAGTGATCAAAATTTGACCACCTCAAAGTGTAGAGAGCAATAAAAGACATTTTTTTTTTTTTTAAATTCAGTGACCAAAATTTGACTATATCAAAGTTTAGGAAGCATTTGAGCCCCATTTTTATGAAAAATATATTTTAGAATATTAGATAGATGGAAAATATGTGGTTGAAAATTAAGGAAAACTTTTTTATTTAAGTGTAATATTATTTTAATGAAAAATGTGTGGTTGAAAATTAAGGAAAACTTTTTTATTTAAGTGTAATATTATTTTAATGAAAAATGTGTGGTTGAAAAAAAAAAAAGAGAAATATATTTTGAAAAAAATGGGAATCAAACAGAAGCTTAACGATGTGATGGGAAGCCACATGAAAAGTTTGAGATGGACGTTATGTTAGCAAGTTACGTACAATATTTTTCAAAGTTAAATAATCAAAATTTAATATTTTATATATAAATATAAGTTCGGTGATCATTGGAAATAAATACATGCATATGTAGGGGCTCTTTTTGTAAAACCCCACGGACGTCGTCTTCAAATATATTTTGAAAAAAATGGGAATCAAACAGAAGCTTAACGATGTGATGGGAAGCCACATGAAAAGTTTGAGATGGACGTTATGTTAGCAAGTAACGTACAATATTTTTCAAAATTAAATAATCAAAATTTAATATTTTATACATAAATATAAGTTCGGTGATCATTGGAAATAAATACATGCATATGTAGGGGCTCTTTTTGTAAAACCCCACGGACGTCGTCTTCCATTCTTTCTTTCTTTCCGTTGGTCTCCTTTTCTCTACATATCGGAACCCCACGCTCACCAAAGTTATACATATACTGACTCATATACATTTAGAGAGATGGAATGTACCATCCGTCGAGAGGTGGAGTTCGTGGCGGTCGTGATCGTAAGATCCTTCTTTCCTTCATTTTTTCGATGCGCTATACAAATCACAAATTCTTTTATGAATTAGACGTATTGTTATTGCTTGTGATTATATTTTATTTATGAATTTATGTACTAGTCTTGAAATTTCTTTCCCGTACAGTTACCCTGCATAATTTGAGAGAAGGATGTTAGGGTTTGATATAATGAAGCCGCTCTATAGGCATCAAAACTCTGTATCACATGTTCGTTACTACACTGAATCAGTGTTTAGCACGAGAATTATGTACAGGTAACAAAGCTAAGGTAGCCTTGGGAAAAGATAAAAAGTAGTAAACGTGAGCCGGCGTGGTTTAGCAATGATATGAATGAGTCAATTTGAATGGTAATTTCAGAAAGTTTGGGTCAATTGTCACGGCTGGAGTTCTTCTGGCAGCTTCTCTGCGACCGCAACTCAGGGATTGAGTGAAATAAGCTAACTCAGCTGATATACTTTAACAAATCAAAGATAAAATAGAATGGGGAAGGGAATAAATGTAAAACAAGGAGGAGGAGAGAATAGCTGTTGAAAGGCTTCAACAATTTTACTGAAATGATCAAAATGAAAAACTGGATTCTGACCCCATACATCTTAGCCTATATCTACTTCCCTCCTTTATTGAGAAGAAAACGTGTTTTTTTTTTCCTCTCATCCAAAATCGGTAAAAGTTTTAAACTAATATTAACAATTATTTTAATTCCAAAATGATGTCGTCTCCTTTAGTGTAAAACAGAATCGCTTCTACTTTCAAATATCTGGTGATTCCGTTGCCCATCTTCTTCCTTCCTCTTCTGCTGGTTTGATATGCTCTTCTTTCTTCCCCATTGATTTTCTCATGTGACATCAATTTACTACGGATTTGAAGTTCAGGAATGTGAGCAACATTCGGGTAGCAATAATGCTCTATTTCATCCATGTGGGTTTCGGAAAGAAACAAAACTCTGTCATGTAATTGCAGTCTGTCTTCGTCTCCCTATCTGTTAAATTGTTATTTATGATTGGGTTCTAAATTTATGAATCTGAGTTACAAAAGGATATTTCTTGGAGCAATATCATCATCAATTGCATTCATTACTAATTACCCATAGTTCTATGAATTTTACACTACTAAATATGTTTTCTATTTGGGTTCAGACCTTGTCTACTTGCCTAATTTTCCCTATCTTTTCTTTGGAATCACTTATGTCTCCTCAGCATATGAAGATGAAACTGCATTTGTCATGGATTATTTATAATTTATTACCTGTTTCTCATTTGCAGAGTTCAGTTGGGAAGATGTGAAAGCTGATAAACATCGAGAAAACTATTTAGGACATAGTCTCAAGGCACCAGTTGGAAGATGGCAAAAAGGTAAAAAAAATTATATGATAATCAGTAGTTAAGCTTGTGATTTTGTTTTGTTTTTTCTTTTGCCCTGTTTCTCCTGGTCATAAACCAAATGTCACTTGCATAAGATTTTGTTCAACATGACATGGTATGTTATATGTGTCGAATCCTCCAAGTTTCAACTGGACACTTCAACATTTTTGCTTCTTCTTTCTTCTTTTTTTTTCTCTTCCTTTTCTTTCCCTTTTTGCTCTCTATAAACCTAGCGCCGCCTTCGAGAGGGTGGAGAAAGGCGGCGGCACTAGGTTTTTCCTTGCGGCACTAGATTTTTCCTTCTTCTTCTTTCTTTTTTCTTTCCCTTTTCTTCTTTTTTTCCTTCCTTCCTTCCCTTTCTATATCGGAGGTTTAGGGTTTTGTTTGTATAAAATGAAAATGAGATCCATATGGTGCTACTTACTACTTCACTAACTCCAAATTGCAATCAAGTCCATCATTTCTATTTTATATACATTCAGTAATAACTTTCCATAGTTGAAAATTAAGCCCCAAAATTTTATTTTATTCATCTTAACCTCTTATTCAATACTCGCATCATTGTTTGTGAACAATTGATTTTGATATATTCAAAACGACTTCTTGGGTTAGTAAAAAAATTTAAACTTGAAAGACGTATTAACGTACATATGTTCGAAATTTGGACTCTTTTTAATCATGTCCCCGTATCCAATATTTTAGAAAATAAAAGATCCGATACTTAGATACGTACCCGTACTCGATATCCATACCCGAATCCGAGCATCATAGGAGAAAACTACTCCATGTGTTATGCATATATTGATCTTGTGGATCCTTTTTATCTAGGAATTTTTTTAACTCGGCTATTTCTTCTTTAGATACTATACTTTCCATACTATGTTGCTGATCACAATACGTACCTTCCTATACAGTTGACCTTGTTACTGGAATTGTGGCCTGCAATCTTTTTCTTTCACCTTAGGAGCTGCCAAAATTTTCAGAAGCATAAAAAATATTTCTTTCACAAGGAACTGTTGAATTTCTATTCCTTTTGGTCAAGAGATTGTTGATGTCCAACACCACTCTGATAAGTGAAGTCTCACCTTGGATATGTACTAGATCTATTTCTTCTTTCTTAACATATTTACCATAAGTAGGCTCTTCGAAAGAAAGATCTTACTTATAATAATGAACTTGATGATGCAAATGAGAATCAGACCTATCTTGTGACAATTTAAAAGGGAAGATCGTATAGGGTTCCAGTCAGCATCTCTTGCACCTCCAAACATTATTAAATCACTACCTTTTTTTCCTTATTTCATCCTCCAGCAACTTGTTGAATTCCCATTGTTGTTGCTTGTCTGGTCCTGTTAGAAGTGATTTGAGTAGTTTTGTCCCCAAAATGAGTATTGTGGTTACCGTAGGAATATATATTGGATATTTATCACTGTATCAACCCAGTCATTCCTCCATTTGTATAGCATATTTTTATTCATCTTCATGATTAGAAAGAAGAGTAATGCTCATCCTATCATCTGATCACTTGTGGCAACTCAATCCTGAGAAATAACTATTTTTGACTTGCTCATCAGTCTCATGTATGCCAACTTCACTAGGTTGCCAGATTTCTGTAATACTCTTTAATTCTAAGGTCCCATCGATTCAAACTGATGTACATCTATACAAACCCATCTGGCAAAATGGCTCCTAAAATTTTGCATTCGTCAATTCCCAGTTGAGAACATCTGGTTCCCTTGCCATGGTATCCCTATTCTTCAAGTTGTTTCCACCTTTGTAGCACAACTATTATTAGTATCAAACTATCATCATCACCAAGAATATTTTTTGTTCGTTAAAAATTTGTTTCCATTTTTAAATAATTCTTCAAGCTTGCATCAAAATCAATCAATTAGTTTCTTTGCATTCTTCGTGGAAATTTGAAACTTTAATTCGAACTCTGAATTGAGATCAAGAGCTATTGGAAACTGCGTTGATACTCCAACGTTTTCAGGTCGTATGAACAATGTGATTGTGGAAACAAATGACTCTTGTAACCCCTTGAGGCTTTGTACTCTACACGGTTTTTCCATCTCTTGGGTGAGATGATCTATTCCCTTTGCATCTGTTTCTGCTGTTGAGCTTAGCTCACCCTGGGATTTTCAGTTGCCTCAAAATATTGACATGATAAATTAGGAACAAAATTGATGTGCGGACATGCTTTACCAACAAAATAGTGGAAGCGATTGAAAGGACAAATTGATATTGGTGGACATTATATACACACTAGTAGTTAGTGTTATAGGCATAAGTGCTATCAAACCAGAACTTTTTGTACCAAAGGTAATTGTTATTCAAGTGTAATGTTGTTGAAATAATGAGGCCTATTTATATGGTCTCTATATTCTAGACCTGAAAGACTTCAAAATCCGTTATAACTTCAGAAAAGAAACTAATTGTGGTGGGAAATTAAAAATAAAGTTAATTTAAGCATCCCAAGTAGAACTCAAGGTATAACCTACACTAAGTTTCAATCTAACAATAAGAATACTGGTCCTAGAAGGACTCTGTAAAAATTGACTTTTTGCCTGTTTCAGCAGTTCAGAAGAACTGATGAAGTAACATAAAACTCCAAGTGGAAAACAGATCCTTGAGATTTATGCTGTTGGCACTCACATTATAAAGTCTGCAGGCCTCTTAGAGAAAGCATTTCCAGCCATGGTTAAGCTGTTCTGATAAATCGTGGCTTGCATCATAAAGTTTTGGTGTATCCTTCCAGTTAACTTTGAAACTGCACTTTTGATTGATTTCTAACTAAAGTTTTTAGCTGCGTTATTAGAGAGATGCACACTTTTTGAGGTTTAAACGTTACTAGTTGGTCTGTTTCTGATTTATATGATTTTTGAATTTATATTCTTATAGGGAAAGACCTCCGCTGGTATGCCCGTGATAAAAAATCTGAGGCTACAAATTCTGAGGCTATTAAAGAAGAGATACAAAGGATCAAGGAGGAAGAGGAGCAAGCCATGAGAGAGGCTCTAGGCTTAGCTCCTAAACGGGCAAAAAAATCTCAAGGTAATCGACTAGATAAACATGAATTTGCTGAACTTGTGAAACGAGGTTCTACTGCAGAAGACTTGGGAGCTGGCCATGCTGAAGCTGCTCAGGTTCAGGGTCTTGGTTCATCTAGGTATGATCGATACTTTCATAATTATGTTTTCCTTTCACTTGCCCCGCATTCCATTTTCTCAGAAGAAACCGCTCACGAGTTCCACTTTCTTATTAACTTTTGACACATTGGCAGGGTTCCCCGCCCTTGGGAAGAATCAAGTTTACCTGCCAATCTGGAGTCCGAGTCACTTGAGAAGATGAATAATTCCATGCTAATCACACCTGCAAGGAATGATGAAGAACAGTCTGAAGATGAAAGTAACAGAAAGCGTGGGGAGAAGAAACGCGAGAAGCATGAAAAGCCTCGTGCTTCAGATGACAGCAAGGGGAAACACAACAAAGAGAAGGAAAAGAGGACACGATTCAGATTGATGAAATTAAATTAACAGTCCGAGGAAGGTAAGAAAATTAAGTAAATGTGGTTTTCTAGATTTGATTCCACTTCAGTTTCTTTAGGTGATCCCATGTGGTATTAGTGTTTTGTGAATGTGATTTTTTTTTTTTTTTTTTTTTTTGTGTGTAATATCGTAATACAATACTATTTTTCACGTCTTTTTTCCATGATTGTTGATCTTGAAAAATTGATTTCTTGACTGATGAATACAGAAATGTAGAATATGGCATGGTAAATGATTGGAGGGAATTCGCCACATGTAGTAAGATGTACTCATAAATATTAAATAAGAATTTTGAGTGTTAATAATTTAAGTGGAAATTACGTCCACACAAGTTTTTGATCTTTCCAATTCAAAAATCAAGTTTGGGGTTTATTTATACAGTTATCAGTGATAATCTCATTGCAAATTGATTTATATACTCACACCCTACTTCATCCACTCATAAAATCCTATATCATTTTCTCTCTTCCTCCTTTCCCTTCTCTTTCTCTCCCGTCTCCCTCACACATGGACTGTTGCCACTATGTTTGGAGATCGTCTCACTCTACATATTTTGCAATGAGCATTGCTGCGCAACGAGCCGTCAGAGACCACCTCCAATCGTCATTGCGCTGTGAGTTGCACGTAGCGGTTCTACACAGAGTAGTCGCTTGCAGTAGCAATGACGCCGTCGCTTGTGGCTTTGCACCTCGCTGCGATGGCGACTAACAGTGGTGGTGTAGGAATTTTTCTTTTTTTTTTTTTTTTTTTTTTTTGGGGGGATCTTGGAGTGGTCATGATGGTTTTAATCTTTTGATGGTGTTAGGGTGGTTTTTGTTGGTGGTATTGGCGATGGTAGTGGATTTGGCGATGGTGGTGACGTGACGTGGTTTCACGGGATGCCTTTTTTCTTGGTACAGAAAGGGACACCGTGTGACAGTAGTCTGCTCCGCTAGACTACCTTCCGTCTTTTCTCGATCGCGTCGGGACGAATGAAAATTTAATTACAATTTTGTAGAAAGTTTACAATAGAGAATTTGAATACATTAAAAGTAAATTGAACATTGATTGATGAAAACTGAACATTACAACTGACGAAAGCAGAAAATTACAATTGCTGGTGCAGGGGGCGGACACCAGTGAGCTTGAAAGATTTTTGAATGACTAATACCCCCTATAATAGCATTCTGAACAAAAACCTAAGTGGCAGGAGTAGACGTTTAAAAGATGATGAATCATACTAAACGTTGACTAATATCAGAGCTATTTTACAATTGAATTAACTATTACAATGAAAAAAAAATTACAACTCAAACTTGAAGTAATATTACAATGTGCGGTCGAAGTTGGGCAAACTGCGGCTGCGATAGTGTCAAGGGGTTAGTAAAGTTGCGGTCCTTGACATTCTCCCCCATATGTTTTGACGACGTCCTCGATGCCATTAATGCATGATATGCTTCAATTAATGGTTTGAAGGCTCCGAGATCTTTTTCTCTTTCCCAAGTATTCTCCTCGCTGCTGCATCCAATCCATTTGACCAAGTAATCCTGATGATCTTTTCAAAAAGCTCGAGTGATTCGATGGTTAAGAATAACTTAAGCAACTTTCTTTCCAACTTTCTTCAGTTCAAACACAGGTCGTTTTGGCTCATTTCTAGATGCGTCCTCCTTATCCGCAAATTATGGTTTCAACACACTAACATGAAGGACCTTGTGGATTTTACACCATGAAGGGAGTTTAACTCTGTATGCAACTCTTCCAATCCTTTTCACGATGGGTAATGATCCAATGTATTTTAGCGTCAATCTTGAGTCCTTCCCTCTTGTTGGTTTGTAAACATTTCTGTCGAGAAACTTAACCATTACCAGATCTCCAACATTGAATTCAATGAAACGACGCTTTAGATTTGCAGCCTTTTTATACCGTTTCTGAGCTTTCTCAAGATAACTCCACGTCAATCTTGAGTCCTTCCCTCTTGTTGGTTTGTAAACATTTCTGTCGAGAAACTTAACCATTACCAGATCTCCAACATTGAATTCAATGAAACGACGCTTTAGATTTGCAGCCTTTTTATACCGTTTCTGAGCTTTCTCAAGATAACTCCGAGCAATTTCAATATTTCGTTTCCACTCTTGAGAAAAGTTCTTTGCTTGAGGGGACTTGGTACTTCGTTCGATATCCACTGTATGAGGGAGTAGCGGTTGTTTGCCAGTAACAATCTCAAAAGGACTCTTATTGGTGGAAGAGCTCTTTTGGGCATTGAAGCAAATCTGAGCTGCATCCAAAAGTTTTACCCAGTTTTTCTACAAAGTAGAGATAAAGTGCCGAAGATATTCTTCTAGCATAGAATTGAAGCGCTCTGTCCGTCCGTCAGATTGTGGGTGAAAACTAGAACTCATGCTCAAAGTTGAACCAAGAAGTTTGAACAACTCAGTCCAAAATATGCCAGTGAAACGAGAATCTCGATCACTAACGATGTCCTTAGGCAGTCCCCAGTATTTAACAATATGTTTGAAGAAGAGTTGAGCTATCTCTTCCGCGGATACATACTTAGGCACTGCAATGAAAGTTGCATATTTTGATAGACGGTCCACCACGACGATGATAGTGCCAAAATCCTCAACTTTTGGCAACCCAATAATGTAGTCTATCGATACACTTTTGAATGGCCGGGTTGGGACAGAAAGGGGCTCCAGCAAGCCTGTCTTTTTCTGATGATCTGCCTCATCTTGCTGACAAATAAGACAGATTTTTAATATTGGGTAGTCGGGACCTTCTCCATAAGTGCCCGAATTTGGTCTCTACTGTTTGTGGAGACGGCACTCCCTGAAAGAGCAGCTACGGAGCAGATGGCAGTCAAATCGGCCCGTCGACTCAGAGCATCAGCAACATGATTACTAGAGCCGGGACGATACTCTAACATAAAATTGAACTCTGAAAGAAATTTCTGCTAACGAGCCTGTTTGCTCGATAGTTTTGGTTGGGACATGAAGTGACTAACTGCAGTGTTATCTGTCTTCATAATAAATGGAGACCCAAGTAGATAGTGACGCCGTCCTCTGAGACAATGGACTACTGCCAACAATTCCTTTTCATGTGCTGAGTAACGACGTTCTATCTGGTTTAACTTCCGGCTCTCATATGCTATCGGATGTCCTTCTTGTATGAGGACTCTACCAAGTGCAAAATCAAATGGTTTAGTCATGTCCGGTAAGGCTAAAATCGGGTTCGTCCACATGGACTTCTTCAACCTTTCAAAAGCAGTTTGACATTCAGTTGACCAATCCGAATTATTATCCTTCTTTGTCAATTTGGTAAGTGGTAGTGCAATTTCTAAGTAGCTTTTCACAAATTTTCGATAGTAATTGCATAACCCAAGAAATGAACGTATATCATGTACGGTTTTTGGTGGTTGCCAATCTTTGATGGCTGTAACCTTCTTCGAATCTATGCGGATTTTACCTTGTTCAATGATGTGACTCAAGAAACTGATAGATGTCTGAGCAAATGAGGATTTAGACGGCTTGGCATAGAGTTCATTCTCCCGTAGTCGATTAAAAACTTGCCTCACACGTTGGACATGTTCCTCCAATGTCTTGCTGTAGATTAATATGTCGTCCAAGTACACCACGACAAAATCATTTAAGAACCCGTGAAGTGCCTGATTCATTATAGTACAAAATGTTGTTGGAGCGTTTGTCAAACTAAAAGGCATCGCTTTAAATTCAAAGGCTCCATATCTGGTACCACTGGAGTCTTTACTTCGTCTCCCTCCTTGATCTGAACTTGCCAATATTCGGACCTAAGATCAATTTTTCTTTAATACTTCGTTCGACTCATTCGATTGAAGCAATCCGCAACCAGTGGAATATGATAGCTGTTCTTTACAGTAATCTTGCTCAAGGTTCGATAGTCGCAGCACATTCTAAGAGAACCATAGGCCTTTTTCTGAAATAATACAGGAGCTTTGTATGGCGACTTCGCAGGCACAATGATTCCACTTTCCAACATTTCTCCCAATTGCTTCCTAAACTCTTCAAGCTCAGGTTGAGACATACGGTATGGTGCCATGGCGAGAGGTTTGACGCCTGGAATAAGTTCAATCTCATGATCAATCATCCTTCTTGGTGGTAATTTCTTTGGTAATTCGTCCGACATGATGTCCTCAAATTCCTGAATAAGCCTTTTAACTGGTTTTGGAATAGGACCATTCGCCTCTTCGATCTCCTCTAATCGAAGAGTGCACAAAAAAGAAAGTTTATTTCTCTTTAAACCCTTACTAAATTGCATGGCTGAGGTATTCTTCTCGCCCATCCTCCCAACCTATGTAGGGATGACACACGGCTTATTACCCATCATCATTAACGAATCGGAATATGGCAACACTGCTGTCTTAGTATCCCGAAGAAATTTCAATCCTAGAATAAGTTTGAAATCATCCATCTGAACTGCAGATAAATTTGTCCTTTCCTCGAAAGGACCTGCTTTGATCAACACCGATTTCGCCACTCCAGCTATTGGTTGAGCAACGGAATTGATTGCTTTGACTTTTCTACTACCCTTTTCCAGAACAAGTCCGAGCCGCTCTACTTCGGTACATGCAAGGTAGTTGTGGGTAGCACCAGTATCCACCATAGCCCTGATTGGCTTCCCGTTGATTTTTACATCGATGTACATTAAGCCTTTGACCCTACAAATCCGAGCCTTCGCTTCTTCCATCCTTGCCTCTTTCAATGGGACATCATCCTTTTCAGCAACCCGATGCGACAGTGTGTTACACCGATGTGAAAATGCCCCAACTACGTCCTCATCCTCTTCGGAGTCGGTCTCACTATGACAATTAGCCTGCGAGGCCTCTTGCTTTGAACTTGACCCGCCACTTGCTAACTGACAATATGCATTCACCATTCGCTTCTGAGGATACTTCGACACCCGATGAGGTCCTTCACATAAAAAGCACTTCAATTTCGGAGTGGCATCAGTTCGGCCCTCCGTTGCTTTTCCTTTGTTCCAATTGTTACTGTTACTGCTGTTAAAATTTCCTTGACGGCTATTATGATACTTTCCTTGAAAGTCATGGGTGCTTTGATAGGCTCATTTTCTATTCTGAGAGTAGCGCTCTCCTCCATTTGGGTTCGAGCTGGGTCTGTAAGGTCTATTACCACTTCCAATTGCTTGATTACTCCCAAAAGGTCGATCTTTTCTAGATTCTGTTTGGTAGTCGCTCAAGCATTCAGCGGCTCCCATGGCCGTGCTGAAATCAGTAACTTTCTGTCTTTGAAGTTCCGTGCGTGTCCACGATTTCAACCCATCCACAAAGGTGAAGAGCTTATCCTTT